GATTAAATATCTTATCTTAAAGATTCTAGAATATGCTTAAGAAAGAAGATAAGTATATTATAAATTAAAAAATCTAGCTATTTTGCCTTGTACTTGAAGAAGAGTTTATTTATATAATATTTATTAATAAAATCTTTAATAAAGAAATCCCTGCCAGTCTAGAGCCTAAGAAACTAATACTAGATGATTTATAAAAACAAGTAGAATAGACTAATAAGAATCTGAAGGAGTATTATAAAATAGTAGCTGAAAATAAATTTAAATTCTTTAAATAATTAAAATTAAAAGTCTTTATTGCAGAGTACCAGCTGGATATAAATTAATATTTATTTTTCTGAGAATAAGTCTGGATCTCTAATTCAGAGTTCTTATAAACTTAGATTATTTAAGAAGTCTATGATAATATAATTACTGGGTATCCCGGACAGGACTAGATTTATAAAATAATTATTTATTATTATTATTAGCTAAATATGAGTAAAAATATCTGCTGGTTCTGCTGTAATTATAATAATTATAGGATTAACTATATTTAAAAAAATTGTAAATAAGGTCTTTTAAAATTATTACTGATTCCTGATTAATCTTGATAAGATATTATTATTGATTTTCTAGTAGATTTTCTAGAATCTTAAGATTATAAAAATATTATAGTTATTACTGATTGGCTGATTAAAAATATTATTATTAAAGTTATCCTGAGCATGGACATGAAGGACTTTATAAATATATTTATTTAAGTATTTTATAATTATTATAAAGTATTCTAGTTAGTGGTTTTGGACTGCAGCTCTCAGTTTATAAATAAATTATAAATAATTCTGTGTGAGGCATTGGATATTAAATAATATTTTTTTATTATTTATTATTCTGAAATAGATAGAGTAACAGAGTATTGAATTACAGTTATTAAGATCTTTCTATAATACTTTATAAATTAATAATAAATTAACTAGTAAGAATTATTATTCCTGGTATAGCTAGCTCTAAATAATTAGGATTCTGTATTAATAGAAATAAGTCTCTTCTTTTTATAGTATGATTTTTATATAAAGTTCTTAGACTTAAGTATTAAAGCAGATTTTTTAGAATATAATCAGATCAGGAACTCCTGAGAGTAGGCTAAGGTTATTTTTAGTAAATTTCAAGAAGTCTGAGATATTATTAGCTTAATAATGGCGGCAGTGTAAGAAGTATAGAAATAATATATTAATTAATAATAAAATCCTGCTTTCTGTTATAAAGAAAATAATAAGATCTGGTTAGATCTGAAAAATATTATAACTAATTAATTTAGTAAGAAGTTAGACTAGTGGAATATAAAGTTCATGGTACTGAAATAGATTAGAATATATGTATATAGGCTGGATATACTACCTGGAATTTATTTAGTATTTTATACTAATTTATTCTGATCTGCTGCTACAGACTCTTTATCTATTTAAAAAATAACTGATTAATAACTAGATATTATTATCACGGAAGATAATACTGAGGAATATATTATTAAGAAGATTATAGATAAGAAAAATATATTTTAAGAAAAATACAGCTATAAAAAAATATTTCTAGTTAAATGGAAGGGATATATTAAATTTATATAGAAATTAATAACTAAGTTTTATAATACTGAGACTTATAAATACTGATATAATCTTATCTATTTACTTTGTTTAAAGAAATCTACATCAGCTTAGCTGTGTTATGGTAAGAAGGATAATAATTAAAAAAAACTAGATCCTGTCAGTTATCTAGAATCAGAATATTTATATTCTGATCTGTCTGGTTCTGGATCTTGACCTGAAAGTATTTGTAAGAAGAATAGAAATCTCTAGAGTAAGTAAAGAAGTATACCAGAGTTATAAAAAAAAATTCTTAGGAAAGTTATTTATAAGAAGGATTAATCTGTCTGTAGATTAGATAGTTCTTTCTTTAATAAATTCAACTTCTCTACCAACTACTGTACCTTACGTAGTCCTCCCGGCTTCTTAGCCCGTCACAATAGCTGGTAACTTAAAGTACTTATCTTACTGCAGTATTTTATTATATTATTAATTAAGTCTGATGATCAGGCATATTTTTTAATATACTATTTAAATATTATATTATTATTATTAAAGCGGGATATGGTCAGCTCCTGTAGCTTGGGTAGGAGATATTAATAAAGATTCTTTTTCTAATAGATTTTAGCAATGCCTGCCTCTACAGTGAGGTAATAGAATATAAATATAAAATTATAAAACTTATTATTAACTGTTATTTTAAGCTCCTGATACTGTTAGTACATGTTATAAGACTTATTTAGATTAATATAAATGATTTTCAGATATTCAAGTATATTAGTTGTATCTGTATAGGGATTTAAAGTGTCAGAATAGAATCAGGAAATTAAATGCTTTCTAGCATTGCCTTTACAGTGACTAATCATATAAGTTTATCAGATAGCAGCTGTGTTCAGTGTGACGGCGAGTGACGTCTCTGGGTCACACGACTTCTGTTTATTTGCTTTGTTTGCCTGCCTCGCATGGTTTACTTATCTTTATATAATTATATATTCTCCCTGAGCTTCTTTCTTTCTTTTCTTATACTAGAAATTCTTATTAAATAATATTAAATTTAATTATTTAATTAACTTCTACATAATTTCTAGTATCACTCTATCTTTCATTTCTTAAGTTAATATTATATACTGCCAGCTACTTAGCTCAGTAGCCAGTATTATTTCTTATATATACTTAACAATACTAAACACAGCTAAGATAGAATAATCTAACTAAGACCTGAACTAGAATAATCAGTAAAAATACTTATAATAACTAAAGAAAACTATACTGAATTAGTACTGAGTGCTATAAATCCTTAATAATATTTAATAATTCTACTAGAAAAAGAGCCTAATAATAAAAAAAATATTATTTATAATCAGTTCTATAAATTATATATAAAGAACCCTAATAAAATCTTTAATATGATTCTCTGTATTATAAAAGAAATAAAAATAAAAATATAAGAAATTATCTGCCAGCGGAACAAGTTTAATAATAATTATAATAAATTAATATATAAATATAATCTGTATATTATCCAGCTTCTCTAGCTTAATAATCAGAGCAGCTGAGTAACTAAAACTTCTGAATCTAAGAAATTAATAAAGATCTCTGACCTATCTTTATTTAATAATAATAAAATTATCAGCTTTAAAGACTGGCTCCTTATAATACAGTAAAAGTTAGAGACTAATATAAATTATCTGAGTATAGCTGCTGTCTGATAAACTTATATAACCAGCTATTATAAAGATAATATTAGAAAGTATTTAGTTCCTTAATTCTATTTTAACACTCTAAATCTTTATACAGATATAATTAACATGCTTAAATACCTGAAAATTATTTATATTAATCTAAATAAGTCTTATAATACACGCTGACAGTATCAGGAACTTAAAATAATAGTTAATAATAAGTTTTATAATTTTATATCTATATTCTATTATCTTGCCGTAGAGGCAGGTATTACTAAAATCTATTAAAAAAAGAATTTTTATTAATATCTTCTACTTAAGTTACAGAAGCTAATTATATCCTGCTTTAATAATAATAATATAATATTTAAATAATATATTAAAAAGTGTGCCCGATCGTCAGACTTAATTAATAATATAATAAAATATTATAGTAAAATAAATACTCTGAATTACCAGCTGCCTATATTAATTATTACTATTATTATAATTATAATCTTTTTTATCCCAACTAAGATTTTCTATAATACCAGCTGCACTACTAGCATGGAGCTAGAGAAATATACTTATATAATAATTAAAGAATACTGCTTTATCTGCCAGGAACAGGAATACTTAATCCAGAATTATCTGAAGAAGAAAACAGGTCAAGTTAAGCTATTAGAAATAATAAAGAATAATAATTTAATAAAAGATAATATCTAGAAAAAGTCTTTTTTCTAAATAAAATAAGTATTAATATTAATTTATTAGATTTATAAGATCTGCTAGGCCAAGAGAATGAAAACTTTATTATTAAAATTCTAATATTAAATAATAAACTAGCAGTATCTACATGTACCCTTATTAATATCAAAGCTAATATCTATATTTATATAAATACTGTCTTTATTATTTAGATAATTTACTAATTCTAAATTAATACTATTTTTTTTAAGACTAATTATATTATTACAGATTTTGATAGTAAGGCCACGGTATCCCTAATCTATATTATCTGATTTATACTTACAGTTAATGGATATTAGTTCTATAATATATTATTTCTAATACTTGAATTAAACCATCATGATATTATCCTGGAATAAATATAATTTATAAAATAAGGAATCTTATTAGATTATCAGTAAAATAAATTAATATAGTCTAACTATCTTTTCCTACAAGATAAAGTCAAGATTAGATTATTATAATAAATCCTCTGAAATATTTTATTATAATATCTAATTAATCAGAGTTATTAGCAAGATACTATCTGATAAGATTATAATTTCTAAAGAATAATTAATATTCTATTACAGACACTTTTCCCTAAAATAAAGCCTAAAATATTCTAAATCTATTAAAGTATTCTACAGAAGACCTTAGTTAAGATATATTAAAATCTAATAAACTAGAATTTCTAATATTAAATTTTTAGAGCCCCCCGGAGCTCTCAAAAAAAAATATTCTTAAAAAAATTAAAATAGCTTTTATCAGAGCCACTATCTTTTATAAATATCTTTAGAATTCTAAATTAGAAATATTTATCATATCTTTAAGTGTAATTAAGAAGGCTATTACAGAAAAAATAGATTTTTATTATAAAATATTTAAATTAATTAAGAAAGAGGAGATAAAGCAGACTTTTTTTAAATATTATTATAATTTAATAAATATCTTCTTTAAAAAAAAGTTAGATATTTTACCTGTCTCCTGACTATATAATTACTATATTTAACTAGAAGAAAGTAATCTGTTAGAAATAGTTCTTTTTTATAAAATAACTTTAAAAAAACTTAAAGCTGCCCGTGATTATATTATTAAGAATTTAAAAAAAAAATTTATTATATCTAATACAGTCCTGTTTACTTCTTTTATTTTAATAATAAAAAAGCCTGGAGGAGGACTATATCTATATATTAATTACTAGAAATTTAATATCTTGATCTATAAGAATCTCTATTTTATTTTTCTAATTAATAAGATAATAAACTATCTCTAGAATATAAAGATATTTATAAAATTTAATATTTATTAAGATTTCTACTGTATTTACATAGATCCTGAATCTGAAAACTTAATTATTTTCTGAATTTGTTATAGAATCTTCAAGTATTAAGTATTATTATTTAAATTTATAAATAAACCAGCAGCCTTTCAGCATCTTATTAATAAGATTCTTATAGACTTCTTAGACAAGTTTATTACAGTATATATAAATAATATATTAATCTTTAATAAAAATAAGATAAAATACAAGTTTTATATTTATTAGATTCTTAAGTATCTTCAGACAGCTAGATTTTAAGCAGTAATCTATAAATATAAGTTCTATATAATAAAAACTAGATTTCTAGGTTTCATTATTATTACTATAGGTATTCAGGTTGATCCTGTAAAAACTATTATAATTATAAAATAATAATACCTGATTATTATTAAAGAAATATAATTATTTCTCAGATTCTATAATTTCTACTAGTATTTTATAAAAAATTATAGCTAGATTACTAAGCCCATAAATCAGCTCACCTAAAAAAATATTTTATTTATCTAGAACTAATCTTATAAGACAGTTTTCTAGATCTTAAAGCAGGTCCTGACATTAGCTCCTATACTAATCTATTATGATTCTTCTAAATCTATACATATTAAAACTGACGCAGCTGATAGAGTAATTATAAAAATCCTTTATTAATAGATTAAGAATATATAATACCCTGTGATTTATTACTTAAAGACTATATCTCCACCTAAATATAACTATAATATTTATAATAAAAAAATACTGGTTATTATACACGCCCTTACAGAATAAAAAGTAGAACTGGAGAATCTATAATAATTAAAGAAATTTATAATTCTTACAGATCACTGAGCCCTGGAATACTTTATAATTACTAAAAAATTTAATATCCAGCAGGCTTACTGGGCAGAGATACTATCCTAATATTATTTTATTATTAAATATTAATCAGGAAAAAATAATATATTAGCTGATTATCTTATATAAAAAAAAACTAATTTAGAGATAGCTAGTAATTACTACTATTAAGTACTACTAAAGCCTAAATTTCTAGAATCTAATATAACTTTTAATCCAGTACTAGTAGTTTCTGTAAAATAAAATCTTTATATTATAAATTATATTCTAGAAATAAACTATATTTATTTCTTCTTAGAAGATCTCCGGGAGTGAGTCTACTGGTAAAAGACTGATTATTCTTTATAAGATAAACTGCTTTTATATTAAAATAAACTAGTAATTCCTAATAAAAATGATTTACAGGCCCGGTTCTTAGATAAAATCTATTAATAGTTATTACTGGCTTACTTTGGGTAAATTAAGATAATAGTATTAATTAAATAATAATATTTTTAGAATACTTGAAACAGAGATATCTGATACTATATAAATAATTACTTAATTTATAAAAGAAAGAATATATATTAAGATTTATTATTTAAATTACTTTAACCCCTTCTGATCCCTGATTAATTATAGTAATATATATTTATAAATTTCTATTTCTTCCTGAAGGATTATTACAGGTTTAATATTATTTTTATAATAGTAGACTGTCTTAGTAAATATATAGTATTTATTTTCTGTATAAAGCAGATCTCTGTATAAAATATAGTTTATCTATTTATTAACTAAGTTTATATTTAAATAGAACTTCCTAATACTATTATCTTTGACTAAAAAAATTAATTTATAGCTGATTTTTAGGATGAATTATACTAAATCTTATAAATTAAGTTAAAGTTTTTAATAGTATATTATCCGCAGACTGATGGATAAATAAAAATTATTAACTAATATATAATCTAATAACTTATTTTATTTATTAATTACTTCCAGAATAACTGGTCAAAACTGCTATTATTTATTAACTTTATTATTATAGCTCTGCCTTATAAATCTACCAGGTTATCTTTATTTATAGTTAAGAAAGAATATGAATTCTAAATATTATTTAACTAAATTTTTCTAGTAAATTTATTACTGTATATTATTATCTGAGATTAAGTCTATAAATTCACTTACTATATAGAACAGATCTAGATCTTTATATAAAATAGAATCTAGAAAATACAGGGCTGGTAAATATAGTAAGTTAATTAGTTTTACTATTCTATTAATTTTAATATTAGTAATAAAGTTTTTATTAATATCTGCAACTGGAGATGGGGCTAGTTTTTATAAAAGTTATTAAAAAGCTAGTATAGTCTTAAACCTATTATTAATAAGATTAATAATATCTATAAGATTCATCTTTCTGAGAATATATATATATATCTTGTTTTCTATTCTGAGAAGCTTTATTTATATAATATATTTAATCTATTACTAGAACAGATCTAAGATGCTGCTGTATTTATTAAAATTAATAATTAGATAGAATAAAAGGTTGAAAATATTTTAACTAGTTATTTATAATATAATTGCCTCTAGTATAGAGTTAAATAACTAATATTTAATATAACTGATTATACCTGGTATCTAGTAAAGAACTTTAAGAATATTCTCTTCTATTTCTAGAATTATTATATAAAATATTTTATTTATCCCAGACTTCCTAAGTATCTCCTGCAATGGTTAACAGCTACAGAGACTAATAAATTTATACTGGATTATAAAGAAAATAATTTATCTCTGGTTAAGGACAGCCAGACTTAAATAAGAGAATAATATAATAGTAAATAATATCTTTAAATTATATGATTTCTATTTATTTATTTTATTTGTCTGCTTTGTATGGCTTGCTTATCTTTATATAATTATATATTCTTTCTAAGCTTTTTTCTTTCTTTTCTCATGCTAGAAATTCTTGTTAGATAACACCAAATTTGACTATTTGATCAGCTTTCACAACAAGGAAATGCTGGCTATCATACGCGCCCTCACAGAATGGAGAGTAGAACTGAAGGATCTGCAGTAATCAGAGAAATTTATAATTCTTACAGACTACTAAGCCCTGGAATACTTTATAATTATTAAAAAATTTAATGCCTGGCAGGCTTACTGGACAGAGATATTATTCTAATATTATTTTATTATTAAATACTAACCAGGAAGGAATAATATACTAGCTGATTGTTTTATATAAAAAAAGACTAATTTAGAGATAACCAGTAACTACTGTTATCAAGTGCTGTTAAAGCCTGAGTCTCTAGAACTTAGCATAGTCTTTAATCTAGTACTAGTAGTTTCTATAAAGCAAAATCTCTATATTATAAATTATATTCTAGGAGTAAACTGTACTTATCTTTTTTTAGAAGATTTTTGGAAGCAAGTCTGCCAGTAAGAAACTGACTACTTCCTATAAAATAGACTGCTTCTATATTAAAATAAACTGATAGTCTCTGATAAAGATGATCTATAAGTCCAGTTTTTAGATAAGATTTACTAACAACTATTACTGGCTTACCCTGGATAAATCAAGATAATAGTATTAATTAAATAATAATACTTCTGGAGTACTTGGAACAGAAATATCTGATATTATATAAATAATTATTTAATTTATAAAAAAAAAAATATATATTAAGACTTACTATCTAGATTATTTTAATCTCTTCTGATTCCTGATCAGCCATGGTAATATATATTTATAGATTTCTATTTCTTCCCGAAGGATTATTACAGATTTAATATTATTTTTATAGTAATAGACTGTCTTAATAAGCATATAGTATCTATCTTCTATATAAAGCAGATCTCTGTATAAGATATAATTTATTTATTTATTAACTAAATTTATACCTGGACAAGGCCTCCTAATATTATTATCTCTGACTAAAAAGATTAATTTATAACTGATTTTTAGAATAAACTATGTTGAATTCTGTAGATTAAGTTAAAATTTTTAATAATATATTATCTACAGACTAACAAATAAACAGAAATTATTAATTAATATACAGTCTAGTGACTTATTCTATTTATTAATTACTTCTAGAATAACTGGTCAGAACTGCTGTTATTTATTAACTTTACTACTATAATTCTGCCCCATGAATTTACCGGATTATTTTTATTTATAATTAAGAAAAGATATAAATTCTGAATATTATTTAATTAAATCTTTCCGGCAGATCTGTTACTGTATATTATTATTTAAAACTAAGCCTATAAGTTTACTTGCTGTATAGAACAGATCTAGATCTTTATATAAAATAGAATCCAGGAAATATAGAATTAGTAAATATAATAAATTAATTAATCCCACTACCCTGTTAATTTTAATATTAGTAATAAAGTTTTTATTAATATCTGTAACTAGAAATAAGACCAGCCCTTATAAAAATTATTAAAAAGCTGGTATAATCTTATATCTATTATTAATAAGATTAATAATATTTATAAGATTTATCTTTCTAAGAATATATATATATATTTTATCTTCTACCCCGAGAAGCTCTATCTATATAATATATTTAATCTATTACTAGAACAGATTTAAGATACTACTGTACCTATTAAAGTTAATAATCAGATAAAATAAGAGATTAAAAATATTCTAGCCAGCTATTTATAATATAATTATCTTTAATATAAAATTAAATAGCTGGTATTTAATACAGCTAATTATATTTAGTATCTAGCAGAGAACTTCAAGAATACTCTCTTCTACTTCTAAAATTATTATATAAAATATCTTATTTATTCCAGACCCCCCAAGTGCCTCCTGTAATGATTAGTAGCTATAAAGACTAATAAATTTATATTAGATTATAAAAAAAATAATTTATCTCTAGCTGAGAGCAGCCAGACCTAAATAAGGAGATAATATAATAATAAGTAATATTTCTAGATTATATAATTTCTATTTATTTACTTTATTTACCTGTCTTATATAGCTTATTTATCTTTATATAATTATATATTCTCCCTAAACTTCTTTCTTTCTTTCCTTATGCTAGAAATTCTCGTTAGATAACACCAAATTTGACTATTTAATCAGCTTCTACATTCAGGTGGTCTGTGTTAGCTTCCAGCTTCTGCTATATTATAAGAAGCCAGTCTTTAAAGCTAATAGCCTTGCTATTACTAAATAAAGATAAATCAGAGATCTTTATTAATTTCTTAGATTCAGAGGCCTCAGCCACTCGGCTGCTCTGATTATTAAGCTAGAGAAGCTGGATAATATATAGATTATATTCACATGTCAATTCATCACAGTTATTATTAAGCTTGTCCTGCTGGCAGATAATCTTTTATATCTCTATCTCTACTTCTTCTATAATATAAAGAATTATATTAAAGATTTTATCAGAGTCTTTTGTATACAGTTTATAAAACTAATTATAAATAATATTTTTCCTGTTATCAGACTTTCCTTCTAATAAAATTATCAGATATTATTAAGAGTTCATAGCACTCAGTACTAATTCAGTATAGTTTTCTCTAGCTATTATAAATATTTTTACTAATTATTTTAGTTCAGGTCTCAGTCAGGTTGTTCTGTCTTAGCCATATTTAATATTATTAAATATATATAAGAAATGATACTAGCTACTAAGCTAGGTAACTGGCAGTATACAATATTAATTTAGGAAATGAAAGATAGAGTAATATTAGAAATTATATAGAAACTAATTAAATAGTTAAATTTGGTATTATTTAATAAGAATTTCTAGTATAAGAAAAGAAAGGAAGAAGCTCAGGGAGAATATATAATTATATAAAGATAAGTAAGCCACACAAGACAGGCAAACAAAGCAAACAAACAGAAGTCACATGACCCAGAGACGTCACTCGCTGTCACAGTTAGTAATAATTATAATATTTTTATAGCCTTGAGACTCCGGGAGGTCTACCAGGAAGTTAATAATAATATCTTACTAAGATTAATCAGGAATCAGCAGTGGTTTTAAGAGATCTTGCTTATAATCTTTCTAGATATAATTAGTTTTACAGCTGTTACAGTTATAGCAGAACCAGTAAATATCTTCACTCATGTCTGGCTAATAATAATAATAAGTAATTATTTTATAAATCTAGTCCTGTCCAGGGTATCCAGTGATTATATTATCATAGATTTCTTAGATAATCCAAGTTTATAAAAACTTTAAATTAGAGACCCAGACTTATTTTTAGAAGAGCAGGCATTGGTTTACATCTAACTGGTACTCTGTAATAAAGATTTTTAATTTTAATTATTTAAAGAACTCAGGCCTGTCTTCAGCCACCACTTTATAATACTCCTTTAAATTCTTATCAGCCTATTCTACTTGCTTCTACAGATTATTTAATATCAGTTTCTCAGGCTCTAGGCTGGCAGGGATTTCTTTATCAGGGATTTTATCAGTAGATATTATATAAGTAAGCCCTTCTTCAAATACAGGATAAAATAGCTGGATCTTTTAATTTATAATATATTTATCTTCCTCCTTGGACATGTCCTGGGACCTTTAAGATAAGATATCTAATCAAGTATTCATTATCCCTGGGCAGTAATTATGTGACGGCGAGTGACGTCTCAGGGTCACATGACTTCTGTTTTGTTTGCTTTGTTTGCCTGCCTCGCGTGGCTCACTTATCTTTGTATAATCACACATTCTCCCTGAGCTTCTTCCTTTCTTTCCTCATGCTAGAAATTGTTGTTAGATAATATTAAATTTGATTATTTGAATAACTTCTATATAATTTCTAGTATTATTTTATCTTCTATTCCCTAAGTTAATATTATACACTACTAGCTATCTAGCTCGGCAGCTGGTATCCCCCTTTATGCGTGTTTAGTAATACTAAATATAGCCAAGATAAAATGACCTGACTGAGACTTGAACTAGAATAATCAGTAAGAACACTCATGATGGCCAGAGAAAGCCACACCGAATCAGCACTGAGTGTTAGGGGTCGCCCCTTGGTTCCAAGAGTACGTCGCCTGTTGGACAAGAAAGAATAGCTGCCATTCAGAACAGGGCCTCAGAGCTTCTGAGATTTTATATATTATATTTAGTCAGCAGGCGGTAACAAGGCTGGTTAACTGAGTTCTCTAGTAAAGACTTATTCTATAATATTATTTCTCTTCTCTGGCAAGATAATAATATAGAGGCTGGTGTGCTTGTAGACTGGAGTACTTTAGATTTAGATTTCTAGTTAATCTGCTCTGTTACAGTCTTATATTCTATTTTAGTTCTTAGTTTTCTTATTTATGCTCCTGTCTTTGGTGCTTGGTTCCTGGATTCTATATTATTTCTACTTCTCTTACTTCCAGATGTCTGATATTTATAAATCTTTCTTTCCTGTATTCTAATCTCAGTTATATATCTGATATGATTTTTCTTGTTATTTTAAATAAGAATCTTCTCTTTAATATAAACTTGTTTGATTAGTCTGTTAATCAGATAATTAATTTAAATTTTTATAAAAAAAGATTCTCTTCTTTTTTTTCTTTCTTTTCTTTTTTTTTTTTTATCTATAAGCAAGGCAGTCTACATCCTCAGCTAGATATTTGAAAAGGGCTAGGCCCTGTCAGCCATCCGGAATCGGAACATCTATGTTCCAACCCGTCTGGTTCTGGACCTTGACCTGGAGACACCCATAAGAAGGATGGAAATCTCCAGAGTAAGTGAAGGAGTTTACCAGAGTTATAAAGAAAAATTTCCAGAAAAATTATCTATAAGAAGGATTAACCTGTCTGTAGATTAGATAGTTCTTTTTTTAATAAATTTAATTTTTTTACTAACTACTGTATCTTATGTAGTCCTCCCGGCTTCTTAGCCTGTTATAATTTTGAATTTATTTTTTTTTAAAGTATTTATTGGATAACAGACCGGCAATGTGCAATGACTATAATAAATTAATAGATATCTCCAGCCATTATAGAGGCACTACCCAAGCTGATATTATTAATTAATTAGCTAAATACATTAAAGAACTAATAATCCAGAATATAGAAATATAATATATTATCTCCTAATAGAGTATAATAACAGATAATAAGATTAGGGCCAGTCTCAAGCAGGTTAAATAATTTATTAATATCTAACTCTTATTTTTTCAAATATTTGCTACAGTACTTCTGTCTATATTAGTATTAATATTAATATTAGTATTAGCTCAAGACCCGGCTGACGCAAAGAAACTAAAGTTATTAATATCTATGAGCTTTGATGAAAAGGACAAAAGTAAGTTCCTGAGTTAACTTAATAGTATACAGGTAAAGATCAGGATTAACTAATAATTTATTAGCACGCTGGCTAAACAGGTCTGGTATATATTTATACTTCTAAACAGAGAAGCTAAAGTAAAGATTAATTTATAAATAGAGACTAACCACGAGGCTCTATCCTTTTTAACCACAGCTTTGATTAATTATCTTAAACTAATCTATAAGAATCTAGTTTAATAAAAAAAAGTTATCAGCAAGCTGTCCATTCTTAAGTAGGAAAGTTAAATAGTTAATGATCTTTTAATAGAAATTAACAGCCTGCTAATTAAGACCGGAGGATATGGCTAGGAGAACTCAAATAAAAAGAATCTTCTATATTAAATTTTAAATAATAATATCCGCTGACAGATAGTAGGTATTGAATGGAAACCAGACTTTAAAGATTTTTACCAACAAGTCAAACGGATAGCTGATAAATTTATAAAAATAAACTAACTTTCAGAAAAATAACTAGGATATTCTAATACCTAGACAGGTAGTGCTTCCAAGAAAATAACTATAAATAATATTATAGATTAGGAGCCTACAGCAGCAAGTGTAGGACCTGCTTAATAAGTTTAATAAATATCAAAAGAAATACTAATTAAATATCATGAGATAGGACTCTACCTATATTACAGATTCTTAGAATACTATATTACTAGATGTCTTTATCTGCTACCACAGCACCCCTAAGACTTGAAAAGCAAAGTTTACCAAGCTCTGCTCAAAGATAACCCAGCCAGCAAAGCTAGTCAGGTATTAAAGAGCCTAGTTACTCAGCAGACTCCAGCCCTGGAAAAAGTATAGCTTTTCTAGATTATTATCTAGAGGGATATATATTAATTAATTATAATTATAAAAAATTTAAGAAAAAGATTTAAGGATTTAAAGGCTATCATACCTTCTTTATATTAAGATTAATTAATAGAATTTATTTTATAAATACTTTGATTAACACCGGCTGTATATCTTACAGAATGATTAGCTAGAATTTTATAAATAGAAATAAATTAAAGTATATCTTTATTAAACCCTGAAGTATTAAAAGATTTAAAAAAGAAAAAATCTGTGTAATTGAATTAGTAAAAATATCACTAAATATAAATAGAAGCTTGTAGAAGTATATATATCTTTATATTTTACTATATATATATAAATATAATATTATATTAGGATTTTCATAGATGAAGTACTAGAATATAGTACTTTAAATTAAAAACTCTATATTTGATATCCAGAGCACGGGGGTAAAAGTATAATATAGATAAGAACAGAACTGTTTCTTAGTATTACTTATAATTTCTGCCAACGCGTGGTGCACTTAGAAGAATTAAAAAAAGAAAAAAGATTTAATAAAGTTATTTATAATAAGTCTGGCAGATATTAATAAAGTTCTTTATAAACTCAACTAACTAAAAAATTCTATAGAAGTAGAAAGTAAGTTACCAGGCTCTTATTATAAGTACTTAAATATTTTTAGTAAAATAACAGTAAATACTTTACTATTTTATTACCCGGGGGTGGACCATGCCATTAAGATAATTAAGAATATTAAAAGAAAGGAAAAGAAGATTTCTTAGGACTTCTTCTACCAGATAAATTAACTAGAATTCTTGGTATTATAGAAGATCCTGATTAATTTTCTAGAAAAAGAATTTATAAGAATTAATAATTTCCCGGCAGCCGCGCCCGTGCTGTTTATCTTAAAATCTAGTAGTAGTTTATATTTCTGCATGGACTACCAAGTACTTAACTAAATAATTATAAAGAACTAGTATTTCTTGTTATTTATTTAAGAAACCTTCTAATATATTTCAAAGGCTTGTTATTATATTAAACTAAATATTATCCAGGCCTTCTACTGTATCCAGATTAAAGAAGGAGATAAATAAAAAACTATATTTTATATTTGTTTTAAATTATTTAAATAATTAATAATCCTGTTCGGGCTTATTAACTATTTAAGTATATTCTAGTAATATATTAACTGGATTTTATAAGAATTTCTTAATAAATTCTGCTCTGCTTATATTAATAATATTTTTATCTTTATAAATAGAAGCCTGATTATATACCATGTCCAGGTATAATAAGTACTGGAATGCTTGCAGGATACAGGTCTCTAAATAAATATTAATAAATATGAGTTTAAGATGACTATTATGAAATACCTGGAATTTATTATTAAGATAGAAAAAGAGATCTATATAGATTCTGTTAAGATCTAGACTATATAAAACTAAAAAATACTAAAGACTGTCTATAATATTAGGGTCTTCCTAGGATTTACTAATTTTTACTGGTAGTTTCTTAAGGACTGGAAGACCCACTCAGAATCTTTTATATAATTTATTAAAAAGAATATTAAGTTCAGCTGGATACCAGAGATCTAAAAAATATTTGAAATTTTTAAAAAGATCTTTATTACTGCCCCTGTCCTCGCGCATTGGGATTTTAAATAAGAAATACTAGTAGAAATTAACTTCTCTGGATAGTATACAGGAGAAGTATTATTCTAATAGAATAATTAAAAAGTCTTTTACCTGGTAGTATATTTCTCAAAGAAAAACCTGCCTGTAGAGTATAATTATTAGATTTATAACAAGGAACTGCTGGTAATTATTTAAGCCTTGCAGGAATAAGAGCTAGAGCTTATTATACTTCTTTATTTTAAAATTCTTAGTAATTATTAAAATTTAAAATATTTTATAATTTAATAGCAGCTCACAGAACAACAGATATATTAGGTCCAGTTCTTAAGCTGTTTTAACTTTATAATTAATTACTACCCAGGAATAATGAATACTTGATCAGATACTTTATTTTAAAGATTCCAGGATATATTTAAGAAGGAAGATGAGTATGTTATGAATTAAGAGATTCAGTTATTTTATCCTGTATCTGAAGAAGGACTTATTTATATAATATCTGCTGATAAAATTCCTGATAAAGAAATTTCTATTAGCTCAGAGTCTGAGGAATTGATACTAGATAATCTGTGGAAATAAGTAAAACAGACTAATAAGAATCTGAAGGAATATTATAAAATAGTAGCTGAAGATAGATCTGAGCTTTTTAAATAATTAAAATTAAAGGTCTTTATTATAGAATACCAGCTGGATATGAGCTAATGTCTGCTTTTCTAAGAGTGAGTTTAAGTCTTTAATTCAGAGTTCTTATAAATTTGGATTATCTAAGAAGTTTATAATAGTATAATTACTGGATACCCCAGACAAGATTAAATTTATAAAATAATTATTTACTACCACTACTGGCCAGATATAAGTAAAGATATCTGCTAGTTCTGCTATAATTATAACAGCTGTAGGGCTAACTATGTTTAGAAAGACTGTAAGTAAGATCTTTTAAAATTACTGTTGATTTCTGATTAATCTTGGTAAGATATTATTATTAATTTTCTGGTAGATCTTCCGGAGTCTTAAGATTATAAAAATATTATAGTTATTATTGACTGATTAATTAAAGATATTATTATTAAAGCCATCCTGAGTATAGATATGAAAGACTTTATAGATATATTTATCTAAGTATTTTATAATTACTATAGAATATTCTAGTTAGTGGTTTCAGACTGCAGCTCTCAGTTCATGAGTAAATTATAGATAATTCTGTGTGAGATCCTGGATATTAAATAATATTTTTTTATTATTTATTATCCTGAAACAGATGGAGTGATAGAGTACTGAATTATGATTATTAAGATCTTTTTATAATATTTTATAAATTAATAATAGATTAACTGGTAAGAATTACTGTCTTTAATATAGTTAGTTTTAAATAACTAGGACTTTGTATTAACAGGAGTAAGCTCTTTCTTTTTATAGTATAGCTTTTATATGAAGTTCTTAGACTTGAGTATCAAAGCAGACTTTCTAGAATATAATTAGATCAGGAACTTCTGAGAGCAGGCTGAAGTTATTCTTAGTAAACTTTAAGAAGCTTAAGATATTACTAGTTTAATAATAATAACAGCGCAAGAAGTACAGGAATAATATACTAATTAATAATAAAATCCTACTTTCTATTATAAAGAAAATAATAAGGTCTGGTTGGATTTAAAAAATATTATAATTAACTAATTTAGTAAAAAATTAGATTAGTGGAATATAAAATTCATGATACTAGAATAGATCAGAATATATATATACAGGCTGGATATGCTATCTGGAATTTATTTAATATTTTATATTAATCTACTCTGACTTGCTGTTACAGATTCTTTATTTATTTAAAAGATAACTGACTGGTAACTGGATATTATTATTACAGAAGATAATACTAAGAAATATATTATTAAGAAGATTATGGATAAGAAAAATATATTTCAAGGAAAATACAGCTATAAAAAAATGTTTCTAGTTAAATAAAAAAAATATATTAAATCTATATAGAAACCAGCAACTGAGCTTTATGATATTAAGATTTATAAATACTGGTATAATTCTATCTATTTATCTTGTTTAAAGAAATCTATATTAGCTCAGCTGTGTCATGGTAGGGAGAGTAATAATTAAAAAGAGCTAGATTCTGTTAGTTATCTGGAATTAGAATATCTATATTCTAATCTGTCTGGTTCTGGATCTTGATCTGGAAATACCTGTAAAAAGAATAGAAATCTTTAGAGTAAATAAAGGAGTTTACTGGAGTTATAAAGAAAAACTCCCAAAAGAGTTATCTATAAGAAGGACTAATCTATTTGTAAATTAAATAGTTCTTTTTCTAATAAATTCAACTTCTCTATCAATTACTGTATCTTATGTAGTCCTCCCGGCTTCTTAGCCCGTCATAATATTAGACTAGTCTAGACTGAAGATAGATATATATAAGAATATAGATTTATTATCTTTTATATTTAATAAGAATAAGGAGATTTGTTCTTTTTATCTTTATTTTTATATTATTATTTTTCTTACTCTGACTTTATCTTACTTTCTGTTCTAGTTATATTACTTATAGAATTATTTTACTAGCTCTAGTAAGTAAAAAATATATTTTTAGTATTTTTCTTAGAGTTATAATCTCACTTTACTCTAAGCCTGGTAGTAAAAGATAGACTTTTATTATTTTTTTTTTATTTTTCTTATTTTTTTTCCAGATTATATTTACTTTTCCCTGTATTCTTCTTCTATGTAAGATATATAAAAATAATCTTTTTTTCTTTTTTTTTTTTTTTTTTTTTTTTTTTTTTTTTTTTTTTTTTTTTTTTTTTTTTTTTTTTTTTTTTTTTTTTT